AGTTTAGCCTGTATTAATTGTGCATGCAATCAGTGAAAAAGCTGAAATTCCTCCCCCTCCATTGTCTTTTGAGAAAGGAGTAAGAATTACTAATAAAGATCAAAAACTTATTTCTACATCAGTCATCATGTGATCTGCCAGCTGTCACTTAGGCCACTTTGCAGCCACTTGCCTTGATGTAAGCTCATATATTCAAATATTGGTGCTGGCCTTGTAGTCTTTAATGGCTGAATGTCAAAGATATAGCCAACAGGTTTTTCTACATGTTCCTCCATCTAATTGCCAGATGTCAGTTCTGCATCTTTGATCATCAAAAAGAGGAGTAAGAAAAGATTATTGATTGCTCTTAGCGTTTCTACAAATGGGAAATGCAAATCCATAACTATACCTGTTTGTCTCACTTGCTCTCTACAGGTGTCGTTCTGTCTATCTGTTGTTACACGTGGAACTACCTGTGCTGGGAGAGATCGTGTGTGTTTTCAGATCTTGTCCTTTCTTTACGTACAGTTGGCAGCATGATATTTTTGGGTGTGACAGTTCAACTGGACAGACACACACAAACCTTAGCTATATAAGTGTTGTATTTGATTCATTAGTATGTTTTATCCAGCAAATACTCACTTCTGAAGAAGGACACTCAGAAATGGCACTGCATTTGATAAGATACAATGTTCTATGCCTTAAACTCTTGTCTTCTAAGGAAAAAAAAAAAAAAAATCAAATGTACTTGGTGAAGTCAAACACAAATTTCAAAAGTTCTCCTGTATTCAGGACCAGCTTTTTTCACTCCGGTTATACTATGAATGCAGTTCATAAATGAAAAAGGAGCACTGACTTCAAAGTGAAGGCTTAACATGACCCAACGTAGAAACTGGATGTAGATTATAACGTCTCACTAGCTGAAGCAGCATAGCTTGGAAGAACTCACCAGAAGCATCTTCTGTTTTGGGGACTGTGAAATGTGTTAAACATGGTCTAAATAATAATGAAAAACTGCTTAAATTGCTTTGTAACTTTGTAGGAGAGTGAAATATTTTAAACAATCCAATTTTACAGATATTGTATTAACAATTCTTGCTATTGTCTTTAAATAGCTATTCTACAAAATGTAGCAACAAAGTAGTCACAGTCCAAGAAGTCACTCCAGAATAAAGCCTATTAGGTGTTAGTATGGTTATATTTGTACTGCAGCCAGTGGACAAACATTAAAGCTGAGATAGTTTAGCTTAAATGTTGGAGTATACAGTGGACATCATCATTTTTCACAATAAAGTCATCTGCTTTGTATTTGTTTGATTCACTGATATTTCTCTAATGATAAAAGTACCACAGTGTGTTTTATTGTGGTGTTTACAGTTCTGCAAAATTACAAAGCCTAAAGTTAACTTGCACAATGAAAATCTGCCTTTCCTGATGACTGGGTCCTATGTTTTTGTTTTAATCCTTTTTTTTTTTTTCTTTTCTTTTTTTTTTTTTTTTTTCTCCCCTTCACACAATTGTGTCAGATGTTGCTAATTTGAGATAGAGAGAGTTACTAAATCAGTTAGAACATCAAATGCTTGGGTGGCTAGATACTGCAGCACAGATATGAAACATCACATTTTTTTGTCTGATGGCTATAAAGCTTGTTGGCAATTTTGTGAAACTGCTGACACAAAAGGCACCCATCAAAGGCCTTTTGTAAGTTATCATAATAAGTACATTCATTACTTTGATTTGGTTATTACTCTACTTTTATGTGTGGTGCCCCAGAAAAGTGAAAATAAATTAAAGAGAAGAAAACCCAAATGCCTGGTGCAGGAATTAACAGAGAACAGCATGTTGTGAGATTATAGGGCTGAGTTTTTAGCCTGATCTGACCTCACAAAAAGTGTGAACTCACGAAATTCAGTGTGCCTTTTACCAAGGTATGAGCTATCACCAAAGTGCAAAGATCTGGAGCTAAAGCTCGATACATATCAGGAAGAATTTGAACCAAATAAGCAGGAGTGATGCAAGGCTATCAATCAGCACTTTTGAAGTAAGGAACTAAAAAAGTGTGCTAGATGTGAAGGCTTATAACTTATGATTTCATGCACTCTGGATTAAAGCAATGTAATACATGGCAAAAGAAGAGGAATTGCCAAGCTTGCCTTCCTGGAATTAGCAGCTGCTGATGCTAATGGGACGCAGAGTGGAATTGCCAGATTTGCCATTTATAGCAAGTGCTGCCTCTGAGCCCCTTATCTACGTGGCACTTGGTTTAGGGTAGTGATGCTCACGATGCTAGTCCCGCAGAAAGTTATTGAGGATGCTGGGCGCGTGTGTGTGTTTAGTGGGGGGGGGAGGGGGCACCGTGTGTGTGTGTGGAGGGGGTGGTTGGACCTTACTATAACTGGTAATTAAGATGATCTGTATAAGGTAATGAAACAAAAAAATATTTCTGAAGAATGTTACATGTACAAAAATATGACTTTCAACTTTGAAAATAAATAAGTTCAGTTTATTAAGAGCTGGTGTCAATGCTGAACAAAATACACATCCTCCCGTAAAGAAACATTTTGGTGAACTGTTCTTTTTTTTTTTTTTTTTTTTGTTTTTCTAAAATA